ATATTTATTTAAAGTTGCGCATTTTGATGTGACGTCACATTTCTCGTCACAAATGTCTGACCCCCCCCCTAGGTGCGTGACGTCATTTATGGACGGCCCCTGAGGTCGCAGTGCTCAGTCTGACAGAGATCTTGCATAAACGTGGCAATCCAGCAGGCATATGTTGGTAAATTGAATGTAGTTGCTTCAAAATGTACATTTGAAAGGTAAAATGTTATAAACTAGACGTCCAGACCCTCATGGTAGAATAGCGCTCATCACGAGACAAACGTTTTTATTGCAAAAATAAGTGATAACAAAATTACGTTGAAGCGTTAACTTGAAACCTAAAATTTAAATTTAAAGCTACCGATCGTGGCTTTAAACACTTTCTACAAATACACTCCATGGAAAACACCTTCATAAAAAATCACTGCAAATGAAGAACGACCCTCCCAGTAACCGCACTGCGGGAGGAGGAACGGCGACACGGACTCTCTCGTAGCCAGCAGCAGCAGCAGACCTCCACTTTGCCATCCAGCTCACCAACACGCTGCACTGCCACGCACCGTAACAGACTGGACCACAGAATACGCGACTTCTTGAACGCGGACTTTATGGGCCATGAGCTGAGGCTCACACGGCCCAGGCCACGCGAGCGATGACCTCTGACCCAGCGACTTGTAAGTGAATCGCTCGCCCTGTCTGCCCCCCCCAACCCTCACCCGTCTTGAACACCCACACAGTTCCTCGGCCAAATCTCTCGGTCAAACTGCGCGCTCGGTGGGGAGGTCACCGCCTCTCAAACGCTCTATCGCCCTCTAGCGGCGCACGAGACGGCACGGGGCCTTCGAGCTCGGACCTGAAGAGTTCAATCCCAGACTGTGGTGTCGTTAAATTTCGATTTAAAGCTTTCGTGACTGCAGGGATTCATCTTCTTGGTTATTTCGGTAAAGTCACGTAGAAGGGAAATAATGAAATAATAAAAATAAAACATAATAAAACCCAGCTTAAATATACGCTGCCAAGCTTGGTGGTGTTCATTCAGACGCTGGCTTTCCGACAGCCCTGTTCTTCACCTGAGGACGGCTGCTTGCGTTGTGGCCGAAACGTCGTGAGAATTGTATTTTATTATGTTTTATTTTTATTATTTTATTATTTCCCTTCTACGTGACTTTACCGAAAGAACCAAGAAGATGTGGTGTCGTTGTTCCTCTCGCGCCGGACCCTAAAAAGGGGCCGTCCATAAATGACGTCACGCGATTTTGGACGATTTTTGACCCCCTCCCCACGTCACACGGCGTCACATATATCTGACCGCCCCCCCTAGGTGCGTGACGTCATTTATGGACGGCCCCAAAGCTTTGCGCGACAACTTAAAACGTTGGCCTGGCATTCGCAGATGGACATTTAAGTAGTCTCACGAAATGTACGGTTTTGTATCAACATAACCTCTGTACACACCTACTTTGTATATACAAAATATATACGCCCTCTACACGATGTACACACCTACACTATGTACACACCTACACTATATACATACACATATACTATACATAGACCGACACTGTATACATACACATATACTATACATACACTCTACACACCTACACTATGTACACACCGACACTTTCTTCATACTTACACTATATACATACACATATACTATACATACACATATAGTATACACACCTACACTATGTACACAGCGACACTATATACATACACATGTACTATACATACACATATACTATACATACCTACACTATGTACACACCTACACTACAGACACCTAGACGAAATACACACATACACTATACATCAATACCAGCCACTCGCCACTAAGTGACGGTGACGTCACCACGGCGCCTGTGCCAGGCTAGGTGTACTGATGCCACGTGAAGTGTCCAAGGCTCGCTGACAGGAGGCTTCGGGATAGACCCAGCAGGTGCCATGGGTTGGCTGACTGAGATGACTGGTAGAAGCATCAGCTGTACCCCCTACTGTGCCAACTTGCTGTATTTTATCCGCCCGGCGCTTCGCTCGTTGTTGTGAGCGTCGCTCCTCCGCCCTCCGTTGTTGCTGGAGGACGACTGCCTCCAACTGCCCAGTAGAAGCAGCGTCCTTCACGAGCCTCCTCCATAGAGGCCGATTTGTGACACCGCTGGTACCAATCATCGGCAAGTCGACTCAGCTCCACATCCTCCTGTACCACATCACTCCATCTCTTCTCCAGCCCATGTCGTGCCCGTATGGCCCACTATATATGGCCAAACAGAAGTTGCTTGGGCATGCAGCCTTGCCTGCCAGAAGAGCTCACTGATGGGAATGTGTCCAGATCTTTGAAGGATTTGTGAGCTCACATAACCCAACCTGGTTAAGCCCAGGATGGATCGTAGGCATGCCAGCCTGAATGTTTCTAACCGGCGCAGATGTTCGAGAATACCAAAAGCTTCATGCGGAGCGACAGACCAGGTAGCTTCCACACAGAATTGCACAGCCGATGAAAAGATAATGCCGCCCAACTGATTCGGAGTGAGACCTCTGCTGTCAAACCGCAGTTGGTCATAAGCACACTGCCCAGGTATGAGAAACTTTCCACTCTCTCCACAACTGCTCCATCACCAATGAGGAACTGAGGGGAGTGGAGTGTTTGGTGGCAAAACATACCCAGGAAGGTGCTTAGTTTCGGTTGGGTTGATTGGAAGACCCCACCTCTTAGTGGCATACTCCAGGTTCAGAAGCAGCGCCTCCAACTCCTCCTCTGAGTGAGCAGCAATTACCAGATCATCAGCATACATAACATGGTTGAGCAATAGGGAGCCTTCCCTGGACCGCACCCGGGCATCGATCAGCCTCCCATTGTATCTGTACCAGATGTAAATTCAGCCGGTGTGGCCATCGGAGGCTTCACGAACTACGTGGTCAAAATAGATGTTAAATAATGTGGGAGCCAGATAACATCCCTGTCGCACCCCAAGGTGAACAGGGAATGGCTCCAACTCCTGGCCACGTAGCTTTAGTGTAGGTGTGTGCGTATAGTGGGGAGTGGTAGTGTAGTGGTTAGCGCTACGCTGCGCTATGAACCAGGCGTCCCGAGTTTGATTCCCGCTCACGGCCAACACCAGTGACGATTATCTGAACCGGTCCTGAGCCTCCCCTAGGGCGACTCAGCCCGAAATGAGTACCTACTGCAGTGTGTAAACATCGCCACTGGGGAGACAAAGGCGGTTGGGCGTGGTGCTGGCCACCCACCCCCTCGTGTGCCGTGCCGGCCTTCATAGGTGCTCGCTAACAGCACTTGCCCCTACAGTCTGTAAAGGCTATAGGGGGATCTTTGTCTTTGTGTCTGTGTGTAGTAGGTGTGTTTGTGAGTAGTAGTAGGTGTGTCTGTGTGGGGGGGAGTAGGGATGTGTGTGTGTCTAGTAGGTGTGTGTGGGAGTAGCAGGTGTGTGTGTAATAGTAGGTGTTTGTGGGAGTAGCAGTTGTGTGTGTGCGTGGTCTTGTGATGTTGTACTTTTTATGCTAACAAATACCGAAATATCCCAAACACCCCGGCGGCCCACTTTCAATGTGAAGCTCTCTGCTGGAGAATGAAGCCGCTCCCTCAACGCCGCTGCTCGGGGCGGAGATGTCTGCGCTGTAGGTCGGTGTCAGGTGAGCCTCGTGGGACGCAGACCGCAACCTCCCTGTGTGTTGGCTGTCCACGCTGCAAAGCGCCCCCCCCCCCCCCCGTGCCTCTGTTGTTGTTCGTGAATGTTCAACGGCGTGGGCATTTGTGGCATTTTTGGAACGTCCGCCTGAGACTGTGGTTCTGTGTTAATGCTTCGGCAACGGCCGTAAGCCTATTATTAGACAGGTTTTTGTGTGTTTCTGTTCACGATGTGTTATTGACTTCCGGAATAAACAACGCATTAGAATGATGACATCGCTGTTTTCCTGTAAATGGTGATTTTTTTTTAAACATCGAAGTTGTTTTGGTTCGACGTCGTCGTGATCGTTCCACACGTCGACAACCCTCCGCCCCCCCCCCACCAAGCCCCCCACCAACCCCCCCCACCAACCCTCCCTCCACAAACCCCCCCCACCAACCCTCCCACCAACACCCCCCACCAACCCTCCCCCCCCCCACCAAACCCCCCACCAACCCTCCCCCACAAACCCCCCCACCAACCCTCCCCCACCAATCCCCCCCTACAACCCCCCCACCAACCCCCCCCCACCAACTCCCCCCACCAACTCCCCCACCAACTCCCCCCACCAACCCCCCCCACCAACCCCCCCCCACCAACCTTCCCACCAACACCCCCCACCAACCCTCCCCCCCCCCCACCATACCCCCCACCAACCCTCTCCCCACAAACCCCCCCACCAACCCTCCCCCACCAACCCCCCCCTACAACCCCCCCACCAACCCCCCCCCACCAACTCCCCCCACCAACTCCCCCACCAACTCCCCCCACCAACCCCCCCCACCAACCCCCCCCACCAACCCCCCCCACCAAACCCCCAACCAACCCTCCGCCCACCAACCCTCCCCACCAACCCCCCACCAACCCCCCCACCAACCCCCCTCCCCACCAACCCCCCCCACCAACCCCCCCCCCCCACCAAACCCCCCACCAACCCTTCGCCGACCAACCCTCCCCCACCAATCCCCCCATCAACCCTCCCCCACCAACCCACCAACCCTCCCCATCACCAATTCCCCCCCCCCACCAACCTCTCCCCACCAACCTCCCCCCACCAACCCCCCCCCCACCAACCCCCCCCCCACCAACCCCCCCACCAACTCCTCCTGGCAACGTCCCCAGGCGCGTCACGGCGTCTCAAGTTCGCGCTCTCCAAGGCCGACCAAAGTATCTGCCCTGATAAAGGGCCGTTGCCTGAAACGTCGTGCACGCTGTATATTCCCCCTCTCGCCCCATGGTATGAACGAGTGCTCGCCCAGCCCGGTGAGACTGAGAGGCTACCCACGGACACGGGAGGTTTGCGCTGACTTTGTCTTTTATTTTTTATAAATAATAATCAACCGACGGCATCCATCCTTGACAGATACATAAGGCACGGGATAGCGCGCGTCGCCCAAGCCTTCGCGTGTATTTACATTCACGTGTCACACGTTACACACCCCCTACAGACACACTGCTGACGTTTCTGCAACTGAACAGAGCTGAACAACATCAATATACAAAATAATTATTAAATAACATTGAGCATTCGCGCGCGTGTGTACTTGACATTCACTCCACACGCGTGTTTAGGTGGGGACCGGCGGTGCAGTGTCCGTGGCATTGCACTCCAGTCTCGACCACCTGAGTTCGATTCCCATCAGGGCCGGTCATGCGGGCCACAAGACCCACGGCTGGAGCCTCTCTGCTGCTAGTGTCAGGGCTAGTGTCAGGGCTAGGGTCAGGGCTAGGGTCAGGGCTAGGGTCAGGGCTAGGGTCAGGGCTAGGGTCACGGCTAGGGTCAGGGCTATAGGTCAGGGCTAGTATCAGGGCTAGGGTCAGGGCTAGGGTCAGGGCTAAGGTCAGGGCTAGGGTCAGGGCTAGGGTCGGGGCTAGGGTCAGGGCTAGTGTCAGGGCTATGGTCAGGGCTAGGGTCAGGGCTAGGGTCAGGGCTAGGTTCAGGGCTAGGTTCAGGGCTAGTGTCAGGGCTAGTGTCAGGGCTAGGGTCAGGTAGGTCAGGGCTAGGGTCAGGGCTAGGGTCAGGGCTAGGTTCAGGGCTAGTGTCAGGGCTAGTGTCAGGGCTAGGGTCAGGTATAGGGTCAGGGCTAGGGTCAGGGCTAGGGTCTGGGCTAGTGTCAGGGCTAAGGTCAGGGCTAGGGTCAGGGCTAGGGTCGGGGCTAGGGTCAGGGCTAGTGTCAGGGCTATGGTCAGGGCTAGTGTCAGGGCTAAGGTCAGGGCTAGGGTCAGGGCTAGGGTCGGGGCTAGGGTCAGGGCTAGTGTCAGGGCTATGGTCAGGGCTAGGGTCTGGGCTAGGGTCAGGGCTAGGGTCAGGGCTAAGGTCACGGCTAGGGTCAGGGCTATAGGTCAGGGCTAGGGTCAGGGCTTAGGGTCAGGTATGGGGTCAGGGCTAGGGTCAGGGCTAGGGTCACGGCTATATACAAAATAAATTAGTATTATAACGACGACGACGTTGATCATGTGAGTGAGTCCAGAGAAGTAGCCTGCTGAGTTGCCTCGCAACCAACGAAGCGACGACCTCGCGACCTCTCAGCGGTGAGCGGAAAGTTCTCGCGTCGCAAGCGGCGACCCAGCCAGCCGGCCAGCTCGCTCGCTGCTGCTGCTGGCGGCTTCTTCTTCTTCTTCCATCGCTTCTCCACGCGTCCTCCGTGAGCTCTCTCAAGAGTCTCGAGACCCCCAGCGGGGACCCCCCCCTGCCCCCCCCCCCGGCTCAACACACGCGGCCCACGGCGCCCTCCCGGTACAGCTCCTCCATGGCGCTCGCGAACTCCGAGCTGCACGGTGGCGGCGGCGGCGGCGCGGAGCCTCCAGCCCCGCGCGGCGCCCACGGCCCCCACCAGCCGCTCGCGTCTCCCCCCTCGCCCCAGCCGGCGTCGTCCCGGGCGGGGGGGCTCAGCTTGAGGATGGACCTGGGGGGGCTGCGAGCGAAGCCGCCGCCGCTGCCGCCGCCGCCGCCGCCACCGCCGTGGTCCAGGTTGAAGGTGACGCGACGCTTCTGGGAGGCGCCGCCGCTGCCGCTGCTGCTGCTGCTGCGCACCGCGGCGTCCGCTGCGCGTGCCCAGCAGGCGCCGCGTGGCCACGGGATGTCGACGGGGTCGCTCCTCCGGGCGCCGCTCGGGCCACGAGACGCGGCCCCCGCGTCGGGCGGCGGCGGCGGTGGCGGCGACTCAGCCGCGTGGGCCGGCGGCTTCGTGGCGGTGGCGTGCGGAGAAGCTGCGGAGTACCTCTTCATGGCGCGTGGTGGAGCGTGGTGGAGCGTGGTGGAGCGTGGAGGAGCTCCGTGCACCTGCGGGGAGAGCGGCAGAAACAGCGGCGCGTTCGTGAGCGTCGGCGTCAGTGACGATTGTCTGAACCGAGTCCTGATCATCCCCTAAGTAGACTCAGCCTCAAACGAGTACCTGGCGCGGTGGGTAAACGCCGCCACTGGGGAGACAAAGGCGGCCGCGCGTGGTGCCGTCCGCCTACCCCCTCGTGTGCCGTGTCGGCCTTCATAGGCGCTACTCGCTGACAGCACTTGTCCCGGCACGCTGCGAAGGCTACACGGGGGAGCTTTGCCTCGCGGCGCGCGCGGCGCGTGCGGGTTACCGTTGCGAGCAGCAGGCGCGGTCGCTGTCCAGCTGCGGCCACCGCGATCACGGCACGCGACTCGGCGGCTGAGTTGGGGTCTCGGCTCTCCGGTGATGGAGCGGAGTTTGCTGGCGGACGAGGAGGCTCGTGTGGCCCGAACACCGCCACGCGGCGCCTATTTAAGGGCGGCCGCTGTTGACAGCCCCCAGCGCTCGCGGGGGTGGAGGGGGGGGGGCGTGCTGAGCGCGTCCGAGCGAGGCGACGGGAGGTGTTGGACAAACAGACGGGGCCCAGAGTCACGCGACCCCTCTCAGCACAGCGCTCGAGAGGAGCGCGTCAAGGTGGCGGGGCTGGGGTGTGCTGGGCTCACTCCCCCCCTCCCGCCCTCCCGCCCTCCCCTCCTCTCGACTTTCTTTTCAGAGGCAAATTACGGCGCTTCCTGCTCCAGCGAACAGCGGGGTGGAGCGACGCTCCTCAAGCCCGGTCGGCGTTGGGAATTCCACGTTCCCACGACGGGGCCTCGGTTTACTCACGGAGCAAATCCGCGCGGCGCGCGACTGCGAGGAGGTGTTAGCGATTTGTTGAGATTATCTGGCTGTATAGCAAATAAATAAATACAATTACTTTACTATGCAAGTTAAAAACGTGTGTTTTAATGTGTATGTGTTTATTTATTTATTTAGGGCCCCTTTAGAACATATGCTACAGGGCCCGCACCAGCTGAATCCGGCACTGGGCGGGTCCCCTGTCTGGGCAGTTCGCCTGGCTCCCTTGCACGTGAGGAGAGAGAAAAACAAAGCCACACTCGTCCAACTAATAGGGGTTTTCCCATTTTTTCTGGCCACAAAACTGACACCTTTTGCAAGGAATCATGCTTACATTAACCACAATACTTGCAGTCAAATGCAAACAAAAAACAATACTCTGATCATTTATGCATTGTCCTTGAAACTGATTGGTCCACACCAGAGACAGCTTTCTTTAGAGCCTAGTCTCATATGGTGTTCGACCAGATGACGCCAAAAGGCGCATACAGTAGTTCAAAGACAACGCACTATCAGAATAATGAGAGCTCGGGGTGAGCAGCTACATCATGGGACCTCCTTTGCCAATACCAAAATATACTAATAGGGGGTTTCCCCTCGTCCAATTGAACAAATTTCACTGGCCTACAGTTTTCTTAGACGCCGTCTGCTTCAGAGATGAAACGTGCTGTTTATTATGGATTTTAATCGCTGAATTCAAATATGACAATACAACAACTGATTGGCTACCGTTCCCAAGACAGTTACTTTTTTACATTTACGTCTACGTATATTGTGTAGATAGAGTTTTACTCTGTAAGCCGAGGCCTTTTCGCGTGTTTATGGTTGCTTTACATGATAACATGTCCTGTTCCTGTCCTGTTCATGTAACACTTTGAAAATCAGTGCACAAATCACGCGCCATCGCCTTCGCCCATGGCGACACGGGGTGCGCGTGTGTGGCCTCGCGAGGGGAAAAAATATTAAACGGGCGACGTTTTGGGCAACGGGCCTTCTTCAGAGCACGTCGATCAAATCGGCCAAATAATTTCAATGCGGGCCCATCTTAGAACAGGAGTCGTGAAACTCAGTGACGACCTCGTGGACAAAGCAAGGGGGCCTCATCGATTATGTTACCTCCAAAGTGGTACCTATTTTATCGACCCAGCGGCATCATGAGCCGAGTCGACCCCTGACCGGGATATGAGCTCGGAAACGTCCGATCGTTGAGTGATTTGTGTCCCAGTGTAGTGCTCGCAGTGCACGCGAGTCGCGAACTCTCCCCTCTCGGCACCGATGCTCCTGCTCTCTGCTGGGCCACTGCCATCAACTCTCACAGATTGGACCCCGCCAGATGAAACGTGGAATTCCCACCGCCAGTGTCTGAGCACCACCCTCCTTGGTGGTGAGCGTTGCCGCTGGATGCCGTGGTGAGCGTTGGGAAGACTCTGTGCGCGACGACTCCCGCTGCTTTTGCCGCTCTGGTGCACGGGCGTCATTGTTGTTGTTGCTGCTGCTGCTGCCCGTTCGCGTGAATGCTTTTGTTTGGCTTACAACCTCAAGGGTTCTGATCGTGCAACTCGAAACCGAACGTTGCTATTGTGCAATTTCCTCTTACTCTCGTATTGCCCTGTAATCCCACGCTGGTCCCGCTCGTAAAGCCACACTCGTGGTCTCTCTCAATGGGCTCTCGTTACCTGCTGGAAATCAAGGGAATGATGATGATGACGATAATCATGACGGTGATGCCGGTGATTCATAGATCCCTGTGGGAGAACCCTTCCAACTGCATGGCAGGATGGGCTATATCACTTGGAGGTTCTGAATAAAATGTGAAAAGAAAGCACTGCTGATGTAGTGGGAAAGAGGGCTGTGATGAGTGGGACACACGCAGGGTGGAGGAGGGCAGGTTACCCTGACAACACACGGCAAGAGTGGCACTCAGAGGTTGGCGACCTCGGGGAAGACCTCAAGCCAGATGACGATGGTGGTGATGATGGTGGCGGTGGTGGTGATGATGGTGGCGGTGGTGGTGATGATGGTGGCGGTGGTGGTGATGATGGTGGCGGTGGTGGTGATGATGGTGGCGGTGGTGGTGATGATGGTGGCGGTGGTGGTGATGATGGTGGCGGTGGTGGTGATGATGGTGGCGGTGGTGGTGATGATGGTGGCGGTGGTGGTGATGATAGTGGCGGTGGTGGTGATGATGGTGGCGGTGGTGGTGATGATGGTGGCGGTGGTGGTGATGATGGTGGCGGTGGTGGTGATGATGGTGGCGGTGGTGGTGATGATGGTGCCGGTGGTGGTGATGATGGTGGCGGTGGTGGTGATGATGGTGGCGGTGGTGGTGATGATGGTGGCGGTGGTGGTGATGATGGTGGCGGTGGTGGTGATGATGGTGGCGGTGGTGGTGATGATGGTGGCGGTGGTGGTGATGATAGTGGCGGTGGTGGTGATGATGGTGGCGGTGGTGGTGATGATGGTGGCGGTGGTGGTGATGATGGTGGCGGTGGTGGTGATGATGGTGGCGGTGGTGGTGATGATGGTGGCAGTGGTGGTGATGATGGTGGCGGTGGTGGTGATGATGGTGGCGGTGGTGGTGATGATGGTGGCGGTGGTGGTGATGATGGTGCCGGTGGTGGTGATGATGGTGGCGGTGGTGGTGATCTCAGTCAGTCGACCCGTGGCACCTGCTGGGTCTGCCCTGTGACCTCCTGCCAGCGGGCTGTTCGACACTTCACGTGGCTTCAAGGTGCACTTAGCCTGGCACAAGCGTCGTGGTGACGTCACCGCCACTTAGTGGCGAATGGCGGTTGTTGTTGGTGGTGGTGGTGATGATGGTGGCGGTTATGGTGGTGGTGAGACTGTGAGAACAGCCCTTGGTGGCCTGTTGTGAACTTCGCAAAACTGCCGTGGGATGTGGCAGCAGGGAGGAAGCGATGCCAAAGTGCGGTGGCTTCAACGAAATTGTCCATGGTGACCTCCTGACCTTGACGTCACCCTATTGACACCCCCCCCCTCCACCGCTCCGCTCAAGTGTACGCGGCGTGGATGTTCTCGCGCGCCGTGTCGTTCGGACGCAATGGAACGTGTCGCGGTGGAGGAGGGCCCTTCGCCAGCGCGCGCGTCACGCCGTGAAGTGTCCGTGCGCACTCTGAAGGGGCCGCGTTCGGGCGCACGAGGGCAGCCCGCTGAGTCGCCGCTCATTTCTTGGCCCGGCCAACACCGCCAGCTCAACAGCGCCATGCTTGTGCCGGGACCAGAGGTCGCAAACGGGTTTTGATTCCTTACCCATACCCGGCCGCACCAGGGTCGCAAATGGGTACCCGTACCCGTGCCCGGCCGGGTACGGGTAACCGTTCCCTACCCGTACCCTACCAGAAATGAGTGACAAACGGTTACTCACCAGTGACTCACGGCCTACCCGTACCCGGCCGCACCAGGGTCGCAAACGGGTACCCGTACCCGTACTTGGCCGGGTACGGGTAGCCGGGTATCGGGTACCCGGTTGCGACCTCAGGCCGGGACTTGAGGGGTGGCCACTTGTCCGAGTTTCACCCGAATCGTCCGGGACTTGGCATTTCTGTCCGGGTGGCAGCATTAACCACGGTGGCTGGGAGATGTTAACTACCTCACCTGACATACAGGAGGTCGTGGCTTCGATCCCGACCTTGGTGCCTGTAAATTTAGAGTTTGCGTGTCTCTCTCCCCGCGGTCGCGTGGATTTTTCTCCGGGACCTCCGGTGTTTCCCTCCACATTTAGAAACATGCTTTTAGAGTATTTGTCTGCTTTGCATTTCCACACGATAAGCCACTTCGTTGAGCTATCACTTGTGGCCAGGTCGCTTCTGATAAAAAAAAGCTACATAGCTCAGCAGGCATTACCTGGTAAAACAATAATAGTTTAGCAATACATCTTCTTGGTTCTTTCGGTAAAGTCACGCAGAAGGAAAATAATAAAATAAAATAAATAAAACATAATAAAATAATTCTCACGACGTTTCGGCCACAACGCAAGCAGCCGTCTTCAGGTGGAGAACAGGTCTGTCGAGAAGGCAGAGTCTCCACCTGAAGACGGCTGATTGCGTTGCGGCCGAAACGTCGTGAGAATTATTTTATTATATATTATTTTTTTTATTTTATTATTTTACTTCTACGTGACTTTACCGAAAGAACCAAGAAGATGAATCCCTGCAGTCACGAAAGCTTTAAATCGAAGTTTAGGAATAGTTTTAGTTTCAATGATTTGTGTGTGGATCCGGTAGCGCCGTTGTTGCCTTGAGCTTTATTGCCAGATCTGGGCTGACTGAGACGAACGTCAGGGCTTGGTGGTCTACAGTGGAAGGGGGGACCGGGCCTGTCCCGGCTTCACCCGCAGCCTTGGCTCAGGCGAGCGTCGTTCTGCTGATGAGCCACTTGAATGTCGAAACCGGCCCGCGCAGCGTTTTGCCTTGCGTTCAATCGAGTCGGCCCGAAACAATGCGCTCCCAGGAGGCCGTGTGGCTGATGCTGACGGGATGTGTGAAAGTCACCCACCTCGACATTCCTCGTGCTCCTCGTGTGTTCCCCACTGTGTTGGTTCAGTGGCCGCTGACGACGTCGTGACGCCAAA